TGTTACCACTCCGAAGTGTACCAATCTCTCTATTTTTCAAGCGGATGCCTACCATTTTCAGGACATATGGAGTGTCAATTCAGAGACTCCTATCAGACATGTAGCTCTCTGCCATAATTCTAGGGACATTCACTTACCCGATTTATTCACAAATCTTGTTGAGCTAAACGCAAAAACATCATCGCGACCTAAAGTTATTTTCATCATAATAGACAAATCGATGGGCTATACTCATGACAACTATTTGAAGTGTGAACGCCTACTCTACCTGGCTGCTCGGTTATTTCGACAAAACTTCATCTTCACTTATAGCCGACCCAATCGAGACGAGAAATGCTACACTCGTGCCGCTGAACTCATAGGCACCGCCAAACTAGTCTTTCTTGACAATAGTTTGGCTACACCAAATTCCTACATCCCATGTTTGACCTGCTTCCCGATAAGGTTTTCACAACTGCATACCATATCACTCGCAAGTTTAAAACAGGAATGGGACGAAAAGAACAAGAATCTTCACAAATATGTTCTGCACTATATGGTGGAAGACGATTACGTAGGATCTTGTGGATTATTGTTCCGTGAATTTGGTACGATAGACAATTCGCATTTCTGCATTATAACAGCAATTGCAGCAAAGTATAATCTAACCCTTGTGCAAGTAAACTTTAACAAGGCGGGTATCAAGGATGGCAAGTTTGTTAGCAGTTTTGGCCGCTCATACTCTGATACGCTTTCCCATAGCGAGTTAGACGATTCTGTATATCATGTGGGCTTTGCACCCCTAAACTTTCTAACTATAACCGATCCCCCTTCTCATGGCGGCGGCGTGACTACAGTTGTTTCCCTTTCGATCTAGAGACTTGGATACTCTTCCTGGTTTGTACAATCGTTCTAACTGTAATTTTATCATGGTTCGTAGCAGTGGATAGATCTCAAAACGATTGTGTTATTTTTATCTTACTGGCTCAAAAGGCGAACACAGTCGCATCAATTTTTCTAGGACAAGTTGGCGAAACTGGTGGGATTGCCTATCAAACTAGAAAAGCAAGCTTGATCCTTGTTATCGTTTGGCTGTTTGGATACACTGTCCTTACCTCAAATCTATATATCAAGGGTCAATCTATTCATGTTTGGCTGTCCTTCTGCCGCCCCCAACTCCTTACGGATATAGTGATCTTGTTACCTGGGATATTCCCATTGTAACCACGGATATTGCATATAATCCTAAAACCCACAGACACGAGTCATTCATATGCGATTCTCTTATCCCCGAATTACTCTTAGGTCGAGGTTATACCTCGCAATCCGCCCAAGTTCTACTCAGCCTGCAGGAAAAGATTTCCTCGGCACAAAATGCATCCGTGTATGCTCTTGTGAGAAAAATTGTTCGCGAAAATACTACCCAATCTCATCCCACAATTGCCCTAATAGTATTAGGCTAATACTACCAGAAAACATGTTTGATTTCTTTGCCAAAACCTGTAAGCTGAATGGAAATAGACATCTTACCCCGAGCAAGGATGAATCACCGTTCTGTGTAATAGAATTCCAAATCGGGTTTAAGAATTTGATCTACCGTTACGTAGAAAATGGATGGAGCCGTTTCCACGAAGCTGGACTAGAAAGACTGTGGCGTAAATACATCACGATGCATAAGGTGTTCAGGGGAAGCACGAGCCTAAGCAAAGATAAATATTTTGAAGCGGTTCAGATGTCTTTTGCAAATGTAAGGGACCAGATCCATTTCCATGAGGCGGCACCCGTATCGATGAAACTTATCCAACCTATCTTTGTGATTAGTGGTGTGTTAATTGGGACCAGTGTACTAGCGTTCTTGACAGAATATAGAGAAAAAGTATTTGTCTGGGCGAAACTCGTCCATATAATTATTTTAAAGATTACACATTACTGCCTGTAAAAGTTTTTCACCCCTTATGGGTTTTGTGGACAGTATGATAGCTAATTAATAATTAACCTGCAGACACCTTATAATTTCCATCCACTTAATTTAATATTCGTTTAAAATGTTACAATTGATCGATCGGCATGATAAGATGCTAAATCTAGACTTGAATGAATTGATTAAAAAAATTACAAATGTTTCTCTTTCAATATTTTAATCGTAGTGCAAGGATAAGCGGAATGGAACTTATATATATATATGTAGCGAATTATCCCATAAAGTTTAGCCAACTTGTAGAAAAGTATTGATCCCCGTTATGTATCATTAATGTTAAATTCTAAGAATTGGTTCATTAAAATCTACATGAAAGCCCTATCACAAAATGTGGTACAATTTCCTGCCTTTAACAAGAAAAAAAATAATTATTTACATAAATTTCGTTCGTAAATAATCCTAATACAACATATCAATTTCCTTGTATGGTGTGTATGAAATTAATAGGCTGGATTTTTCTAAGAATTTAAGTGGCCGATACTGCAATGCTTAATACATTAAAAAACTTGGAAACTAAAAATTTTTTGTGACATCTAAGGTTTACAAAACCATTTCAATTTTTCAAATCAGCCAAGAATTAACCGATCAGTGCTTCGGCCAACTAATAGAAAATGGACTATTAATTTTACACAGACCATAGATTTTACATACATTTTTCCGTCGATGTTTTTTCGCAAGCATAACTGCATTTATGGATACGCGTATTTAGCGTATCAAATAAATTCTCCTAAAATTTCTGCATATCGTAAATAATTGTTACCACGGTTGGTTCCTGATATAATCAAATTTCATAAAATGCACCCATTTAAGAAAAATTCTTTTTTAATATTAGTATTTTTTACCGTAACAACTTGCTTCTGTAGTTTTTTCAAACCTGAAAATATTTTTGGAAACTCTACACTCCACTTTGTATTCACATCCGATTTAACCTTTGCAGAAGTTGGTCCAGATTTTGAAATAATTCGACACAATAATAACTATTCTCCTCTCGTCACGAGTGCTTCCTTGGGAAATAATGTGTATAACTTTACCCCACATTTTAGCTATGTTCGCAATACCCAAAAATCATCCCGTTCGGTCGTGACCTTCTTAAATCTTAACTTATATTCGATTCACTATATCGCATCTCATAATTATTGGTTACTTAAGCAAACTGTGGAAAAGGAAAGTCCCGCCTACATTTTTGCACACGTGGAACATTATCCAGATTGGGATAGCGATTATGTCAAAAGTTTCACTGGGATGACCGGAAATTCAAAGTTTTTCTTACATCAGTCAGACAAAAATTTAGTATGGACCGTTTGCATTCCATGTTCCTCCGTTGTGCAAGTTTCACCCGATCTGACAACGTTTTATGAGCTTGGGCGCATCTGGGACATCATAAACTTACAGAACATGCAGAAAAAAATAGTTCGCACTATGGCAAGTTGGTTTGATTTAGAAAAAAATCTAGATTTTACCTGCGGCCCAAATTTATTCTACCGCGGTGTAACTGAATCTCCCTACTACTGTGGAATATCCGAGCTGGGTAGAAAGTATAACTTTACCCCAATGACATCAGCTGATGAACGAATTCAACCAAAACGGGTCATTGGTCTCGTCATTTTCCGCTATATGCTACGCGCTGGAGATATCGACGATCTGCTTATAATTGTTTCACCCCTGATGTTAACCATGGATAAATTTGAATTTACCATAGTGACCAATTTTCCCACAACTGTGGGGTCACTTGAGACTTTATTCTCTCCTTTTGATTACTTCACCTGGACTTTTCTACTGTTGTCTTGTATCGCGATTATCGTATTGATTTATTCGGAGAGGAAGTTGTTGTCGCTTTCAACCCTTAAGTTCGAACCGATTTTTAATTTGGTTTCCCAATTAATTGGCCAAGGCAGTTTCTACTTTGGTAACCTTAATTTTAAAACGATCGCCGTTTTCTGGTCATTTTTCTGCTACATTTTAATGGAAAATTTATATCAGGGATCAATTTATTCTTGTTTAACAGTCACGCTACCCCCATCTGTTCCTAAAACAATTGAAGATGTAATATCATCGAATCTACAGGTCATAACTACTTCCAGTATCCTCAGTGTATTAGTCATACAACAGAATTTATCAGTTCTCCAGCATAAAATTTTGCCCGACCTGATACCTTGGTTTCCCGCGGACTCTGCATATTCCAGGACGATACAGAAATTTAACTCAAGCCTGTATTTCCTAAACCTCAGAGACATAACTAGGGCAGATATTGCCGCGACAATTTCAAATTCCCAGGATATCTTGGCTTCCAACAAAACCATCAGGACGAGTGGAACGTTTGCCGTGATGGACGACAAAAATGATTTGAACAATTTTTCAAGTCTGATGAAAATTCTGGGAAAACGTCTCCTCATTAAGGGGCATTCGGGACACATGGATTTTTACACGTTCTACGTGGATGTGGTCAAAACTAATTTTATAGTTCCAAAATTATATGAGGGAATTAATCGTTTGGTCGAGTCAGGGATTTATGGACGATGGGGTGCTATGAATGACTTGAAGGCTGATTTAGAAGAAATGCGGAAAGTTGGGAGTGAACCGTATAGAAAGTTATTTAGGATGGAAATGGTAGGCACTGGACGAGATGATTTTAAAGAGGATTGGACAGCAGATCCAGTACCCTTCGAAGCGATTAAATACATGTTTGGACTTTGTTTAATAATTCTGTCACTGACTTGTTGCGTTAGCTTGTTGGAACATACGTTAGGAATAATATCAGTGTGTTTTACCATGTCAAAATATTTGTTTACCTAGATGTGTTGTTATTGGAGTAAGGGCGAAAGTTAAATTTTGTAAATTCGGCAAGGACTCGACAATGCAAGTCTGGTTGAGCTAGAACAATGAAAAGTATAATAATAAATATTAAAGTATTAGCAGTATTAAACGTATTCTTAACTTATAACACAGCTGACGTTTATGGTTCAAATTCGAAAAGCAAGTTACTTTTAATTTGTGGCATTCTATTTCACTAGGGGGTAACAATTAATAACAAAAATTATTTTGTTTCGTCACATCAGGTAAAATTTTATTAGCGTCGTACATAGTTGTAAATAAATATGTAATTATGGTCATTGCAGTTTAGAACTAATAATGAAAAGCCTGGTATGTTTAGTTACCCGGTAAGTTACATATCGTCGTACTAATTCTAAATAGACTTAAGTGCAATCGATGTTTAATTCTAAGAAGACTTAAGTGCAGTCTATTTACATGTTCATCTTGTGTACTTAAGTGTCTTTAGAATTAGTACGACGATATGTGTACATTTCCAAGCATATGGATAAAATAAATATGAACTCATTTATCCCCATACATTCTAGTACTACGGTCTGACTTTTTTTATAAGTCTCTTATATTGGGACATGGCAACAACAAGTTGATAAAGTAGAAACATATATAGTCACATAATCATATGATACATTTCAATAATTCTTATTGATTCAATTGCTCAATCAAGGAATCTTTGGTATTGTGAAAAATCCCCAATAATCGCTTGTAAAGATAAGCTGGCTTGTCATCCTTCATTGGGCAATGCCCTTAATATCGACGACTGTTAAAGATTTCACACCCAGACATTCGCAATGTACGTTCGTTAGAACAATATACAGAACAATAAACAGTACTTAAATAACTCATTCGACAATGAGGGATAGATCTGCCGTGAAAAAACAATGGCTCAGTCGCCATACAAAACTAGGCTAACAAACGCTTCTAAAATTATTTGTATTAATTTAAAATTATTTCTTAACTACGCTAAAATCTTGAAGTATGATAACTGAAAATATTTTACTTAACGTAGATATTTAAATACATTCCCTTACATCCGGCCCTCGAGAGTATGCATCTTTCCAAGATGCCGCCTCAATTCGTACACCGCGAAGAATTTCTTCCCGCAGGAATAACACTCTTCTCTCTTTCCATCACCCCCGGCGTGTTTCCTTCTCACGTGATCGAGTAGATTGGCCTTGACAGGACTTTTGTACTCACACTTCTCACAGGAATATGTTCTATCTGTGTTTCGTGCGTGGTTAGCTAGCATATGGGCTCTCCTACCGGAATATGACTTCAACACTTTGCCACACTCGTTACACGGGTGGCGCTGATTGTCATGATAAATTTTCTTGTGTTGCCAGAGGCTGCAATTCGAGGCGAAGCTGATGGGACAAAAACGGCAGGTGAAAACTGGTCGGAGAGATTTTGGCTGGTGGATTTTCTATAAAAAAAGACACATTGTAGAATTTTCTAATTATTAAAAATAAAGTTGTCAATTTTATTGACATAATTAGATACGGTCAATTACAGAAACTATTAGAATTCGATAATTCCTACCTCATGCCTTTTTAGGCTACTGATTTGTACGAATCTTGTCCCACAACTTGAACACTTGTGAGGTTTCTCGGTCGTGTGCGTGGCAATGTGCTTGACCAGGTCGGGGTTGGCTTTAAATTCTCTGCCACATAAAGTGCACCCAAATCGGGCTGGATTTTCGTAATGCTCCATTCTAAAATGATATACGACCCAAGTTTTGTTCTGATATGTTTTACCACAGCCTGGGAACGTGCATGGATGTCGGGGTCGTTCAGTCGTGTTGTGAACCAAATTCATGTGGTTCCGTAAAGACTCCATGCGGGAATATTGTCGTTGACAAATTGGGCATAACTGGACACGACGAGAAGGGACCGTGGCTGGAATGCCATTTTGTAAAACGACTGCCGCTTTTGACATTCTCATGAAAATCTGCGGGTATTGGAAAATAATGTGCGATTAATACAGGATAAATTAAATTTATGGGTTATGTTTTTAACCGGAGGAACATTAATTGACAAATTTATAGAGAAAGTATACATGATTGAACCAATCGGCAGGAATTATTTTTTTCAGTGTTCACTCGTTTAGATGGGTTTTAGAAATATTGTGTAATGTAATTAGCCTCTACTTACATATTATCAAAAGATGGATGTATATCAGATGGGTTTCCTCAATTTACTTATCACTATATAACTTCAGTATTGTTCCCTGCAACATTCAGAATGCAACTTAATTATGCTGTGTTTATGAAAACATTTAGGCTAGTGTTTTTTTTAAGTATGGAATCGGTTGTCGGATTATATACATGGGCCAAGTTCCTTTCACATTTTTGGTTTCCAGGAATACACCAAGTGGGTTTTGAGCCGAATGTATCATACATTCAGCTTCACATACATTATGTATGTGAAGGGTTGAAACATGTGTTCAGGTACCTGTCCACGGTGAAAATTCCACATAATTCTGTTATCTATTGTACCATTGAGGCAAAAAAATATTTGCAACCTTAAAAATGTTATAACATAGAAAACGATAATTTTCGTGTCATTGTGATTGCGATGATTGGGAAATTTATTTGTTCAATTCATCAACAAACACCAATTGCAACTGAGCTACATACGTATCATAATTAATAAAAGGATTAGAGTTTAATCCTGGCCTTATAAATCGTGATAAGATACGAGCTAGGCATCGATGCTACCCAATTTGGGGATTATAGCCAGCTATTGTTCAACCTTCCAGGTCACCTGCAACTTGTTTTCTTTCCAGCTGGGTGGCAGGATCCACTAAACAAATTTTTACAAAATAGCTTGTATCTATATTATAATCCTGAATCTCTGTTGGTAACGGAAGTAAAAGAAATCTGTCTGAAACGGAAGTGAAAGTAGAGAAAGTTAAAAGCAATTTAGCGATGCTCAAAAAAGTGACATAGATGTTAGTGAATTTAAAATTAATTTGAGGAAATGGGTTCTTGATTATAATTTTACTGGCCTTGCTACGCAGGAACTTTTAAAACTGTTTCAAAGTCATAATTGCTTCGCATCTCTCCCACTAAACCAGCGAACTGTGTTACGCACTGATGTGCAACTTATAAGAAACGTTAACAGAAATGATGATAGTGTAATAAAATGAAAAATTCTTAGTGTAAGTATAGGGTTTCAATTCTTGTCTTTGCAGCTTGCACTTGGTACTTCTTGGATCTTTGTTTCTGTCTGGGATCTTTTTTTCGGATTCCATCGACGATCTGGAACTTTTACTATTATGCGACTAGATTTGATTGGGGGATCCGATCCAATTTTCGAAATAGGAGGGCTTTGCGTAGATTTTCTGTATCAAATAAATTTCATATATTTCGATGTTACTGATTTAAAAATTCATTTCTACCTATATCAATACTAATATTTGGCCCGGATGAAAAATGCTATCAGGCTTCTAATAAATTTAAGGAAGCAAAAAAATCTTCACATTTTTCAAGCTTGAACTTACTGCTCGTCTACCATGTCCGCCATGCGATTAAGAAATGAAACCCATTCCGACCTTAATTTCGTTTCACTTTCAGTCGGAGGTGCCATAGCCCACATTCGGACCGTCGCCAGATAAATATCCAATTCGCAACTTGTCGGTACCTGAGACATATTTATGTATATGATAATTTTACTCTGGATAAGTATCTATAGTCTAATAAGGACTTACATTTTTAGAAATTTCTGCTAATTTTTTCTCCACGCTGTCCAATAAACCAGATAAGAATGTTGTTAAATCTTTCTCAATTATTGGCCTCTCCACGTCCACTCGCTCTTTCTCGTTAAACCACAGGTAAACGGCAACTTGGAAATGGATATTTTTCATAACTTTACCAAGCTGGAGTTGGAAAGTGTCTTTATATTGCCATTTCCACGAATTTGTAGGCCCCCCTGTAAATCAAACCAATCATGTATGTTTTTATCCATTACCATAAGTTTTTCAAATTTATTTGCACAGTTCTAATATATAATTTCATTAGTTTTATTTTCATACGATACTCATGAGTTTACCAAACTCAGGAAAACTTTTGCCAAATGCTTACCCTAAGTTTTCCAAAAATAGGTTTGCAAATTATTTTTTTTAGTAAAGTTTAAACTTATTTAAGTTGAAAATATTTTGGACACGTATTTACATAATTTTGTATACATAATTATTAATGTACTTGGCAATAGGTTTTTAACAACAATTGTCACTTAATTCAAAAATGATTTTAGTTCGCCAATCTTGCAACTCACCTTCAATGCAGGATAATATAATATGGCATGCCAGAAAAAGAAATAAGGAGAAGAATACGGTGAATCCAAGAAATAAAGGTTACCTTTTCAGGATGTCATCCTTAATATTTGAAGACCTCGCATACATAAAACCTAAACTGAAGCCACTGATATTTAACCATATAAACAGAGTAATTAATACAGCCTGAATTTTTTTGTTGTAACTGGGCTCAACCGTTTTTTTAATTTCCTCTTTTTCTAATGGCGGATGGCTAAGTTTACGCAAAACACTGATTGTCGTGTCCGTCGGTACTGGTGGTTCCATCCCTTCCATTCTGCAAACACCTTTATTATATTTTTTTTAAATCACTCATTAATACCAGATTGCAGATTGCAACTTGGAACTTGGAACACTTCAGTTTTTAATTGTTCTACATCATTTGTATAACAAATTTTAAACACACGAATAAGTTCGGTATAATTTACCTCCAACTGATTTGATTTAGTACTCAGGTGTTTGAGAGTACGCAAAAATTAATTGTTATTTTGAACTCGTGTTTTTTATTTTCACGATTTTTCCTCTTCTTTGTAATACAAAACTACATATGAGATACTACAGATGATTCGATGCAATAAACAGGAATTGTGTAGTTATAACGAGGAGAAAGTGCGTGGGCTGTACGAGATGGATAGACTCAGTGTTCCGTTTTCTCCGGGTTTTCACTTTTTACACGGCAGAGCTAAAACTCATCCATATTGATAAAGGGAAAGCCCACTAAGGTGCAACCTGTGAGCGAGTGAGGGCGAAAGGTACACTTGGCCAATTCTCTTTACTTGCAGATGAAAAAGTGTGACTTAGGACTCTTCAAAAACGACATTAAAAGAATACTGAACGGCATTCTGAAACCACGGTTCAGACCTATCTCAAGGTGACAAGTTTGCGGCTGTAAAGCTTACAGGATATTGAAAATCTGATATTGTTCAGACGATTGGTCTGAAAAACAAAATTTTTTGTTTTGGCATCGCATAGCGAAAACTTTGTGTCCCATATCTTAAAAGTTGATAAATATTGAATTGATTACTGCAAACAAATTCGTTGTTTATTATTGTTTATTTCATTCACCTAACTGAAAAATGAAGAATATCGGAAAAATAGAATGCATATTTATTTCATTACTATCAATGCTCAACGTGCTAAATGTAATACTAAAAATTGCATTGTTCTACAAGAAATTGACATACAATAATTTTACATAGTACGTACATTATTACTTGAAAAGATGTAAAACAAAACTTAAGCAGAGCTTTTTTAAATGTACTATAATAAAATGTGTTTCACTTCCCCATTGCCTTCTGTACAAGCACCCCTGTAAACGCTCCTATTATCGCTCCATAAATTCCGAACAATGCAACCGATCCGATCTTCACGTGGAGTTGGAGAACCTCAATCTTCCTTTTGAGAACAGCTACGTCACTTCGAAGTGCTCTGATTTCCGTTAGGACAATAGCGTCGTCCCCTTCGGGAATTTCCTGTTGGTGATCCGGTTCAATTCTTGGGGGAGCTGCAAGATTGAGTTTATTAGGGTAAAAATCAATTTACGCCAATACAATTAATTGTAAACAAGTTTTTTAGAATGCAAGCCATATGTACACTAAAATCCATGGTGACATAATTATTTACACTAAACATTTATAACTGAGATAATGTTTTGAAAAGTACTATTAAAATATTCTGCTATTCTATATACTAACCTGCCTGGAACCTCCTCGCCTCTTGTCCTGGCCCTGGCACCTGAAAATTGCCAAGTGTCATGTATGTACATATTTACCTACCCGCAAAATAAGGTAGTAATGAATTATTACAATCCGGAATGACTATATGTCTTTATCACGTTGGTAATAACTTTGTCTAAAAATGGTAATAATAACTTCAGGGAAGTTCAAATTTAATACAATAAAGTAAAGAAATGCATACCAATCAGTAATAAATTTGAATTTCGCTAATATTATTATTACGATTTTGAGACAAAGTTATTACCAACGTGATAAAGACATATAGTCATTCCGGATTGTAATAATTTATTACTACCTTATTTTGAGTGTACGTATAATTAACTTCCCTTAATGTTTAATAACTATGAACCTGATTAATTGGTGGTGGAACGACTCCTTCTTGATCACGGTTTTGCACGACCATGGCAACTGCTGATAAATATGTTATTGCTTCTTTCTCAATAGAACGCGAAGAGGAGAATGGTTCCCAGTATATTTAGGTAAATTATCAACGCATCTATGACTACTGGTTGGTATTTTTGTGGAAGTGAAAGGAGCAAATTGACAGTCCTCACATACTATTGAAAATATAATGGCAATATAAAAATATCCCAAATTTCTAGAAATTTGGGATATGATTGCAACCCTTTACTTCAAATGCGTTTAAGGGTTTGGTCCCTTCTTTATACCTGATTAAACATTTGAGTGTTTGAATATGTACATATAATGTGCACTGAGTCCTAAAATTTTCAACCGTTTACATTCTTGGGTAAGTTTTATTGGCATGGAATAGAGAAGGTTGTACATATGTAATACAATTCAGGGAAAATATATTTACAGGTGGTTTTTAGTTTTTTTACATGCATGTACAATCAGCGAAGCGGATAATATATGACATTAGTGGATATATTTCATGTATTTATCTTCTTATCCGCCTTACCCCTGCAGGTGTCCTGTTTGCATGCATGACTGTCATCATGTAAATGTTTCACAAAATTTAGTCGAAATGAGGGCACGGAATATATATAAATAAATTAGTACATTCATTTTTTAATACAAATGATCTTGGAAGTGGGCAAATTATTATGATTTCTGATTAAAAACAATAGAAAATCAGGGAGTATGGACATGCCGTTTCTTTTCTAGCAGGAATTATCCATCTTGTCGGAGTTGTATTTTATTATGTGTATGCATTAGGAGAAGTGCAACCTGGTCCAGATCCTGGGAATAATGTTAACTTCTTGAGAGACGCAAACAAAATTGATTGATTAAAAAATTACAAATTTCATGTTTCGCACTATTGTTGATAATGAATTCATCACGATACGGTATCAATGCAAACACATTTTTATTTACATTATCCGTGGTAATTGCGACAATTCTACCTTACCCACAACGTACGCCTCCCCTTTGTTAGTCTTTTGATGAGCTGGATAAATATTTAGGTGTTCATAAAAGTTGCAAATTTGCTTTCACCGATAAAACGTGTCTTATTAATCCTTTGGAGAAAAGGGTTATGTGTGTTTCACTTATTCCAATCCTTAAAAATAAAGTTGTGCTTACGTTTGAAGTTTGGTAAAATAAAAGAGTGACACGAACGATTGTATAATTTATTGCGGTACGATTACTCCGATTTAGCCGGAATCAATTCCAGAATATATTGTTAGAAGCGAGTATAAAATTTGAGTAAATGTCGGTTTATTCTGGCTATCAAAAACATTAGAAATGATGGGTTACCTCGTGTCCTCTGTGACTCAACCGCCCTGGCCATAATGTTTCTATCAAGATTGTAATATTTTTTACCTTCTGGTTACATTTTTTCAAAGGTGGTTATTATCACTCGGTAACAAATGGGCTATTTAGGATAGCCCTTTGACACCACGTTTTAAATATGTGGCCAGTTAGCAATGCAGAGAATGATTTGGTTATATTGGAAAATCATCCTCTTCTCATTCATTTTATTTTCCGGTCTCAACTAAAGGAAAGCAATAAGAATGGCAACTTACAAGAATTATCTAATTCTGATGGGGAAATAAATTCTACGTTTGGACATAATGTCTTTAAAATTTTGTAAGCACGCCGAAGTAATTATGAATCAACCTTGGCAATAAACCTATGTATATAAAATTACATTAAATTATTTAACTAGTATAGTCTTTCTCCCTGAAAGAAAGTTTGAATATGAAATTTTCCCTGGAAATTTTCCGTCATAATTCACATTGAGCTCAACGGATAGCATTGTTGATTATGGATAAAATAATAAGGGTGTTATGCTCATTTCACATTTAATTATTAGGTATCGCCTTGACGTCTGGCAATTTAATATGTTCAGTGTTCTGTTCAAAGTTGCGTGGGTTTTGGAAGAGCAAATGTTATTAACTGTTTAACTTGATTGGAATTTTGAAACTGATATATGCAAACCATAAGTGCTTACCACGCGATCATGTTAAATGGACTTACCTACGTAGATATTTACCAAGGTTAATCACTTCAAGAACTAATCCTGTTAATAAACAAATAAGATCAAACTTCTGAAATATATATTCTATTGGTTCAAGTGTTGATTGGTATGGGACAACTTATACAAGCGTGTGAGGAAACCAGACGAAAAACCTCAACTCATACAAGATTTAGTATTTTGTTGCAGAAATGAGGTATTTGTCCCCGAACTAACCTACCAAGTTTGCTCTCGTTTTCTTAAGAAGGGTTATTTTTATGCCTGAAAGCTTTTAACTCTTTTAGTTTAATAAAGTTACACGTAATATAGACGTTGCTCAATAAAATAATAAATTCTATTCGATAGGGTTATATCTTGTGCATACGTAGACAATTTACGTTACAAGGTAAATTGTCTACATTATTTGGAATGATTACGTACCCGTGTGTGTAGGACACCTTGACAAACGAAACGTCATTACTGAAAATTTAATACGAGATGACTTTGAGGTTTGACATACACGAAAATTTTGCACGTTCTAGACTTCAGTCTGTTTTAATCTGTTTGGTAAAACTAATCGAATAAGTAATCAACATGTTTCGCGAAAGGAGAAGTACCCTCACCCCGCAGCAACGGTTTGAGGATAACGTTATGGCTTTCGACTATAAGAAAGAGCTGCAAGGTGTGTAATTTTGCGTCATATTGCTTTATTGTCTTATCATAAATAAGGAATTTTTATAATTATGTATGAATAGTATAAATATTCTAAGATCCACAAATAACATTTAAATTTACAATCTTAAATTAAGACGAATTAGTGAAATTTTTTTTTATTTTTTTTGTATAATTCTTATTAGGTGATCGTATGTTTGTGATTAATGACATCTTTAAAGATGACGAAGTTGACTCGGCCCCTTTTGAGAATGAAGCTGTGCAATATTGGAAGATATAAGTTCTTTGACTTTTCCTACTACACTTTACTCACACCTTTCAGGTATAAATGGGACAAGAGAACGGGGCTTTATAAGATGAAGCGGTCATTACTTCAAATTGTAAGTGCATAATTATATAGAAAATCAAATAATATTTAAATTGAATGGTTCATTGACATAAGGGATTTTAACATAATGGTGATATTGAACAAAAATTCAATTTTATAAAACTGTCATGTTGCATAAATTTATGTTAAATTTCATTATGCAAATTGATCTATAACCATTGCTTGATTTGCATAAATGGGGTTCATATAATGATCGTATTTTGATCCAAAATTGACAGGGTCTTCAGTGGACCTTGTATTTTTTCACGACCATCTACTTTCTCTGTCGAGTGCACAAAATGTCCAAAAAGGATCCGATCGAGAATCCTGATCTGACTTTTCAAATAGCCTATTACTTTTTTGACACGACGTTTCTCGTCGTTTTGTTCCTCTCGTTTGGAAGGCAGGCAAAAATGATGATGGACGTTCTGGACGATTTGCAGATGAATAATCACCAGTACTACAGGAGATATAGGAATGCCAAAAAGGTATTTTTGTCGACCAATTTGCACTTAGCTTGACCCCGGGTACCATGCTTGCAGGTATATATGTATGAGCGCACTTTAGACTTCGTCAAGGAGAAATAGGAGGAAACTCTTATCACTCAAAAAATATTTTTATTGATGTACCATCGAAATTTGGGTCCACATTCCAATTTTATTAATGATTCACTTTCAAATTGAATTCTTGACAAATCTTAGATCTGTCAAGAAAAACAAGATCTAATCTTAGGTACTGTAACTAATCAATTCGCTTCCGAAGAGTAGTTGGCATTGGAAACATGTTCCTGCAGTACTCGTCAAATATTTCCCAAGCACGGGATTAGGCATTGTATGCTATACCGTAACCGTACTTGATTAATTATTTATCAGATAAGACTACTCGCAAACGAATGCATGAGTTACACTTCTTAAAGTACTCTGTAAGTGTGCAACAAATACCTCCAAAACTGTAGAGCAAATTATTCTTGAGTGGTAGGTTTTCGCCTCCTCTGTCTGAGTTCAACTGGGACGTATTTAGTATGGTCAGTGTTTGATAATTAGACCGATTTTTGTAAGTGGTGTTTAAGAAAGAAGTGGTCTAATTGTAAAATTTCTACCATAGGTCTCCATTGCAAATTGCGTGTGTTACTTACTAAAAAATTATGATGTTTGTCACTAGACGGGTCGCATTTCAGCCGCAATATGCGTCGGTTGCTTGGGAACGCTAGTTCTTCAAATCTGTGAAACGCTGCTAGACGAGGGCTGGAGCTGGACAGCGTTTTGGACGTACTGGGAGGACGATGCGGCGTGGGCGTTCGGTGCACCAGCAATTACGGATATTTGCCCAACCTGTTTTGGCGTGCTAGCTCTGACAGGGAGTCTGTTGGAAAAAATGCTGAATGCATTTTCTGACGTCATGTTTACAATGACGGTTCTGATGTGGTACAACTTGGTGAGCAGTTTCCTGGACGATATGATGCGGACTACGAACAATCCCGAGGACGAAGACTTTCATCCTACTGTGGTATGTATGATAAATAATTTAAGTATTGGACAGGGTGGTAGAAAAGAAATGATCGATACATTAGTTTTTATAATAGAAAGCTTTACCAGTACTGAAACAAGGATATTTTGAGCACTGATTTTAAGGCCCCATAGAAGATCATATGTATATCCTAATGGTATAAATAGGCCTAAAAATTTTACAATTGATTATAATTTTCCTTTCAGGTCTTGGATCATTACAAGTGGATAAAGTACATCACTGGGAAAATAAATGGGGCAATGGCTCTCATTAATGGTGCTTTTATCGCGGGAAATTTACCATTCTACGCGACCAATGTTTTCGAGGTTGCGAACGGCGACGCCAATATTTTTATGAGGATGCGTTACTCTTTTTATTGTAGCTACTGGTTTCCCTCCTTAATGATAGCGGCTGCCGCGAATGCAAAGGTACCTTGATTTTAGAATTCATCAGCCAGAGCTACACACTTAACCAATAGTTTGAGTTTAGCACGAATAGTCATGAACGACTTATTTATAGAACTAGTCAAATAAAAAATTCCATAAATATTCGTCATGCTTAAAGTATCTGAAAAGTTTAAAATTTGAACAGTTCCAACACATCAAATCGTGGATTTGCAAGGAAGAGAACTATTCTCTAATTCCAGACTTAAGGTTACGGGTTTTCCTCCATGAGATCGCGTATCAAACAGTTGGCATAGGTTCGTTTGGAATTATTACGGTGACATGGAATACCGTTGGATCGGTGGGTTTGAAGTGCACATACATAATATATAGAATGGTTGAAAGATATGACGACGAAGGAAATATTTTTACCCCAAGTTACTTAAAATAGTACACACAAATTTATTATCTTTTTATTGATAATGAATAATGATACATACATTCAGACAGAATCTGATTATTAGTTAACAATAATTTACCTGATTTCTATGATAGTCCGACCCGGTTGATCGATTTAAAAGTACATTAAATTCTTACAATGGGCTATATTTAATAGCGTAAAATATTGAAGTATTGAGTTGTCTCAGTTTTGATTACCCGCTCTGGATTTACCGTGGCGGTTATTTTTCTTTGACGCATCAGTAAATACAACGGGGAAAAATAGTCTTCTTCCAACCATATCTTCTGACAATTCTGTATCTGAAGGATTTTATTCAATGTATTTACTTATTGCTTATTTTGGCTACAGATTGTCAGCCTGATAGTATCCTATGCCTTGATGAAGTCTCAACTTAACTCTATCAAACCGGAGGATGCGGCCGGGGCTTTGAATGATACAAGTATCGCTGGAGCTGCAAACTTCACAGCGTTGTTCGACCTTGGTTTACGATGAGACGAATAATTTGTATTTGTGAGCAATTCTTTCGCCGCCAATAGTTGATAACTTATCCTGGCACAATGACAAAACTCGGAAAATTTATTAATCAACCTGTTATAAAATGTGTATATTTTCTCACCAAAACTTAACCTCAAAATTAATTGTTGCAGGGATGAACCCTGGTAAGTTGCGAAACTTTCCCGGATTCATCCCACAGCTAAATATAAATATTAGAGAGATAATATGAAGAGAGAGAGAAGAGTTAAGTTAGTCGGTAGCGAGGACTCGAGAGATTAGGATAAGAGATTTAGGATTAAGTATGTACGTGTTAATAGAAGTCAATACGAAAATAAAGTTGAAATAGAGAATCTTCCTGGTCTACCAAGCGTATCATTATTAGCACCAGGATGGTCTTATAGAGAGTCCTGTAACATAATTATCACCGCGCTTTGCGAAACGTTCTATTGTGTTAGGCTAGCGTTGAAAAGCCGCCTTGAAATCGAATAAAGCTGCTAAAATTAAGATCAGGCCGCGTATTTCAAATTTGTATTTGATTTGATTCACAGCTTTACATTTAATTCTGCATTATTATAATCACTAACTTTGAACGGATTGGATAATTAGATTATTGTACAGAGTTTCATAATATGTATTATCCTAACAACGAGGTCTTAATAATACATATCTATATTTGACTAGAGTAAGGAAGTGGTTCAAGCCTGGCACTGTATATCTTACCATTCACTGCATCTTTGTAAATTTGAACCAATGTTAATGTACTAAGGAATTTCTGACATCTATGTTGGCATTTACTAGTACAGTTTTCGCCTTACAGTTAACTACATTTACACCCATTGAGGTCTTCGCAACAGATATTCCATCCCCGGCATCCACATTTGTCATAGTAACATTATTCCCACCTGGGGGTGGTAGAGGGAGCTCGAGTTGAGCACACGTCATTTTGCTCCTCTCTCTTTTTAATTATTTTTAAAACCAAAGTTTTTAGGGAGCGAGGGCAGTGAAGTGTTTTTTGTTGTTTTTTTTTGTTGGTGGTATCGCCCTGGGGGAAGTTTTTTTCTTCGATTTTGTCGGCCCATCTGCCCAACAAGTAGCAGTTCGCCCCATAGCAACGGGACTCGTTGCTAGGGCCCGTTATTTTGCGACCGGTTGACCGGGGAGGATTTCCCACGACTCAGATCGTGAAGGGGAGTGACCCCAGCGCCCCCAGGAGCGGCGCGGAGTGTGAGCGACCGTTTCGTCCTGGGGCTGGTCATTCTCACGGGCGTTAAACGCCTAAATCAGGCGAGATATTTTTCTTTAAATTTATTTTTTTTCCTATCGGACCTAATTTGGTTTGGACTTTTGTTGGGTGGGTCCACATTGGACTCCATTGTTCGCCCAAATTGCAGCCTCCCCACAAAATAAGAAGATTTCCCCAAAATGGACGGCGGTGAGGAAGTGCCGCCCACTTCACCGTCGTCTGAGGATTTGAACACGTCTCTACTGGGGAGACTTCGGCGGGTGGGAAGTTCATGGCTGGGAGGGGGTGGTGCCATGGTTCCCCCTCCAGCCGAAGATGTCAACGTCTCTCTTTTGTCGACCACCGTCGTTCGCAAGCGGGGAAGACCCCCGAAAACTCCCACCACACCCATCGCACCCAATTTTCCGCCAGAATCGCCCTCTCTTGGCGATGAAGAACCCGGCCCATCCACCCTCGACACATCACGCCTCGCCGTTAAGGCCCCACGTCCCCCCAGAAAGTCAGTTTCGCCCTCGAACAGGGCTGACGCCACGGCGGATGCCACGAATTGGCTACTGGAGAGGATCAGGGTGTCGGACAACCCCGCTTTGGCCATCCTCAAGTCCCAGTTGATGGACCGCTACGAGGAGTACTGCGAGGGGAAGGGGACAGAACCCCTCATCGACTCATTAATCGGAAAGGAGGTGAAGAAGTGCTTCCCCAACGTCACAACAAGCCGGAAAGGGGGGCGGGGCAACGTCCAATACACGTATGGGGGGATTACTTGGGTGGCGGACGCCCTTCAGCAGCAGCAACACTCCCAACAGCAACAACAACATGCGGCAAGATTCCGCGAGCGTCTCGCCGACCTCCACGTTTCAGTCCCCCACTCTCCGCCGCGTTCCTAAAGGAGCTCGCCTGATCGTAGCGCAGGCCCTGACCAAGACGGTGCAGGAGGTCACCACGACCAACTCCGAAGAGGCCTGGGAAGCGCTGCTCCTCTTCCCTTACCACGTGCTCCAAGTTCCCCGCAAGTCCGACAAAGTGGTCAACTTGACCAAGTGGGTTAAGGACCTCGCCCACAGATGGGGGACAGACCGCCAGTCCACCACACCAGCGCCCAGGGTACCACGCCCTCCCATCTCCACTGAGCAACAACAACAACAACGTGCCAAGAAGGTGGAGGCCAAACTGTCGGATGGGGATGTGGGGGGTGCAATACGCCTGCTTACGTCGGATGACGTCATCGCCCCCAACAACGAAGATACCTTGTCAGCCCTCCTTGCCAAGCACCCACCACACCCGGAACCCGCCAATTTCCCCGACCCACCCAACAAGGTGACCCCCCCAGCCCCTATCGAAGACGACCAACTCCTTGCCGCAATCGTCTTCATTTCCCCCAGGAAAGGCCGGAGGGTTGGATGGGATGCGCCCACAGATCCTCAAGGACTTGCTCTCCCCCACCCTTGGGCAAGGGGGGGAGGAGCTAATCAAGGCCACCAAGGCCCTTCTCGGACTAATGCTCAGGGGGGATGTCCCTGAAGAAGTATGCCCCATCTTTTACGGTGCCTCCCTCACCGCCCTACTCAAGAAGACGGGGGGAATCCGGCCAGTCGCCGTGGGGAACGTCTGGCGCCGTCTACTGGCGAAAATCGTCGTTAACCGCATAACCCCCAACCTCGTGGAATACCTGTCCCCTCATCAGCTGGGAGTGGGGGTCAAAGGAGGGGCAGAAGCGGGGGCGCATGCGGCGCGAATTTTCTTCAACGCGTCCCACCACACCCCCCAGGCGTTCCTGAAGATGGACTTTACACCCATTGAGAGAAGATTGTTCCTGAAGATGGACGCATTCAACGAGATTCGACGTGACGTCCTCCTCAACATCATCCGGGAGAAGTATCCGGAATACTTCCCCTTCATCGCCCAGTGCCACTCCCCATCCACACTATTTTATGGGACCACCGCCATCCCCTCTCTCCGAGGCTGTCAACAAGGGGACCCCCTCGGACCCGCCCTTTTCTCACTCGTGGTCCACCCAATCCTCCAGGCCATCAACACCACGCTCAACATGTGGTACCTGGACGACGCCACGGTAGCGGATTCCCCCGCCAAGGTCCTCGAGGCACTGGCTACCGTGGTGAAGATGGGGGAGGAAGTCGGACTCCACCTCAACACCGCAAAATGTGAAGTGGGGTTCATGGGGGCAACGCCGCTGGAGGAGGGGGAACTTTGGGCGGCCTTCCAGAGAGCCGCACCAGGCATCCTGCCAATTCTCCCCGAAACCGCAACACTCCTGGGGAGCCCCCTCACTGACGAAGCCATCGTGTCAGTGTTGGGGAAGAAGACTGAGGACCTCGCCACCATGTCCTCCCGCCTACGCGACCTCACCTCCCACTCCGCATTTTACCTCCTGCGGGCCTCCATTTCCACCCCCCGACTCATATATTTTTTGCGTTGCGCCCCCTCCTGGACCAAGAAGGCCCTCCTCCAGGAGTACGACGACACCCTCAAGGGCGCCCTGGAAACCACCCTCAACTGCCACCTTTCCCCCGACTCATGGCTCCAGTCCTCACTTCCGGTGAAGTTGGGCGGCCTAGGAGTGAGACATGCTGTGGACACGGCGATGCCGTGTTTTATCGCGTCGTGCCACAGCACCTCACAACTAGTGTCATCCCTCATCCCGGAAGATGTCATCACCGCCGACACCACCCTGGAGGAAGCGGAGCGGGAATGGACCACTTTGGCGGTTGGGGCAGAGAAACCCGCCGAAACTTTGTTGGGGTCCCAATCTGCTTGGGAATCCCCCCTTCAACTCCTCACCACTCAAAAACTCCACGAACGGGCAACGGAACCAGCGGACAAGGCCCGCCTACTCGCCGCCATCCAGCCACACGCGGGGGCGTGGCTCAAAACACTTCCCTCCCCCCAACTTGGAACCCACCTCCCGAATGAAGCCTTCAGGGTCGCCACCGCTCTACGCCTCGGATGCGACATCTGCGTCCCCCACAAATGCCCCTGTGGCGATCAGGTCACCGCCAAGGGCTACCATGGCCTGAAATGCCGGAAGAGCGCGGGCCGTCATTCTCGACATGCAGCCGCCAACGACGTCATCGCCCGCGCCCTGAGATCGGCCGAAGTCCCCTGCATTAAGGAGCCGCCCGGCTGTGCTAGAGCCGATGGGAAGAAGCCGGACGGATTGACCATGGTCCCTTGGGCGCGGGGAAGATCCCTGGTGTGGGATTTTACGTGTGCCGACACGTTCGCCCCCTCCCACCTCCTCGCAACATCAAAACGTCCAGGTGCCGCCGCCGAGACCGCCCACAACGCCAAGAACCGGAAGTACGCCTTCCTTCTCGACCGCTTTCTCTTCGTCCCCGTCGCCATGGAGACTACAGGGGTGTGGGCCAAGGAGGGGCTTCATCTCATCGAGGCCATTGGCGAGAGGATCGCCACAACTACGGGGGAAAGTCGTGCAAAGTCTTTCCTCATTCAACGAATGAGCGTCGCCATTCAACGCGGAAATGTCGCCGCCATACTCGGAACACTCCCCCCAGGGAAGGAACTGGAGGAGGTGTTCAATTTATAAAAATTTTTCAGGCTAGGGATCATTTGTGACACCCCGGAGGGGTGAGCTTTTTTAGATGTATTTTTGTGTGAATTTCTACGATTTTTTTACGATTATTGATACGGATTTAGTAGGTTGCCATGGACACGACTTAAACTACTATATACTCTGCGAATACATTACTTTACTAGAATCAATAAACTTTTTATGCAATGTGTAATTTAAACTATTATATGAACTCTGCGAACAATACTTTACTATGGAAAATAACAATAAAATTAATTGGCATATTTTTCCCACCTATGAAGACCGTGCCACATTTGCAATCTCTGGCCGTGCTATTGTCTGACTTGATCAACAGTCCAATATCACAAAGGGCTTTTCCGCACCCGCGAAACCTTAAGTTGTCGATATGATTAAATTCCGCACCTTTGCTGAAAACTATTCCATGCCACCACCTAACCTGATTACCAACGGCGGTCAAGGTAATGTTTGAAAATTTGTTGTGTCCTCCGTTCGAAACAATTCCGCGTCTCATGATATTTCCCATTACGTTGGAAATTCTGTTGTGAGTTGACGTACTTGCAATATGGATGACACTATAGATCGTACTCAGGACTTCCAAGCCTTCAATAATATTACGTGATCCGATGATATGCATTCCGTTGGACGATTCGATAGTAATTATTTTAGTAAATTTGTTGTCGTTTCCAGAAACGAGGATGCAATCGTCTGACCCTGATAAGGTAATGTTGCTGAATGCACTTCCATCTCCAGCTACGTCGAAGCAATTACTACCAGATATTTTGTCACCGTGAATAATTTTTAGGTATGAAATTTTATGCCCTGTTCCCAATACCGTCAGTGCAGGTGAATCGCTGTTATTTTTGATAACGGTTGATTTGCCTTGTCCGATAACTGAGACATTCTTTCCTGTAAGAACAAATTTCCCAGAGTAAGTTGTACCTTGGCTAAGGGTAATAATTGTTCCTGGAGTAGCCTCATGTAAACATTTGTACAACTCATCTGAGTTCTTTGCCGGTTTGCGATTACTTTTGTAAAAGTGTGAAGTGGAATCTTCTCTGCATATTCTTCTGAATTGCCATTGTTGAACTAGGAGGGCCACTTCTTCAATTGTTTTAATCCGATTTTGGACTTTTCGTTTGGTTAAGGCAATAACAAGTTCTTTGCCACTAGGAATTTCCGGGTGATGTGCCACAACTGATTCATCCTGGTCCAGAACCAAACTGTCAAAAACTTTTTTCCGCTGGTTTAGATGAATTAGTTGAATAACTTCAAAAATTACTAAACCCATCGAAAACAAGTCAGCTTGGAATGAGTAATTGTTTGAAAATGCTTCTGGTGCCATATAAATATTAGTCCCAATTCCGCTTGTAAGTTCACAGTCTTGGCTTTCAGCTACGTCAAGTATTCGAGAAAGACCAAAATCTCCGATTTTTACCGGCAATGCGAATCCATCCTTCGAGAACATAACGTTTTCCGGTTTCAGGTCTCGGTGTAAGATTTTGTTTCTGTGTAAATGTTCCAAGCCAGATACGATGTCTTGAATGATTACGAATTGTTTATGATGAAGATTGATACCAGGGTAAATCAATCGCTTATTTATCCAATTCCGTAAAGTCTCTCCGCATAGCTCAATTTGAATAGAGATTCCAATTATTTTGTTTGTTCGCTGAAGGCGTCGCTTGCATCAATCTTTCAATTCGAATTCGGCATCGGTCCTTAAGATCAAATCTGGCATGGTATCTTCCAACCGGGATAGGTTGTAATTGTCTTTTCTAAATTTATGTATTGTCACTACATTTTCGTGCTGATCTAAATCAGTGGTAATGTTGCATTCCCGCAATACTTGATTAAATTATTTTTCGTCCTCAGAGTTGTATTGTGGAAAGAGGAACTTGATTGCATATGCGGAATCTTTTTGTTTGTCTATAGCTTTTAGTACAATTCCAAATCCACCGTGGCCAAGACAAGGTTCGTATTTCAATGGATGTTTCTTAGGATTATGGGCCGGTGATGGGGAAAATATTTTTCTGATGAACGACATCGCCTGGGTAAGTCGTACCTCTGCAAGATTGAAAGGAGGATTAAAATTATTTATGAAAAACTGTATGTTCGACCGTATGTAGATTAACAGCAAAAATTATAGATAATTCTAAGCATTTACTCTGCCCACTAGAAAGTTAGAACCCTAACTTCTTGCAGTTAATTTATTGCACTAATAGACGGTCTGTTTATAACTAAATGCTGTTGAATTGAATGAATTTGAAATACATTAATTATGGACAGTATTAATAGTTTACCCTAAATACTGACAAAAACGTCAATGGTTTTAAGAGGTGGTTACCCACAATAACCCTAATTCAAACCAACTTTAGGGATGGCATGTCAAATTGACCCAGTCAGATTGACCCGCGACAGATTGACCCACGCAGGTTGACCCAGCGACAGATTGACCCAATACCAGATTGACCCAGCGACAGATTGACCCAATACCAGATTGACCCAGCGACAGATTGACCCATGACCACAATGACCCAGCGACATATTGACCCACGACCACATTGACCCAGCGACAGATTTACCCATGTATTATGTATGACAACATAAGTTGTATTGCGCAATGCAGAATACGAAAAACGAGAGAAGTAGACCGACTTGCTCACTTCGCAACCACCACCATACATCCACTATACATACATATAGTGTGTAGGTGCAGTAGTAGGAATTGGATCATGAGTGACGTCATCATGACGTCACTGTATGTCGGGGGACCGGCCACAGGGGGGTAAAAATATAAGTTGCCCTTAAACCCCATTTTTTAACATGCTGAGTATAGCCATAGAAAGGATTTTTCAAAAATCGAAAAAAAAATTTCCACCCGCTCAGAAAAGGGACCAACCATTTTTCACTGCACATACGGTGGTAATGATAATGGAGGGATGGATAGTAATGGATGGATGGATACCAATGAAGGGATGGATACTAATGGAGGGATGGATACTAATGGAGGGATTGATGACAATGGATGCATCAGACAACAATGAATTAGAAAGGCACAAGATTGTATTGATAAAATCAAGTCCATAACAACTTTGTCCAGCCAGCAGTTAACACTCGGTCATTTTTTCTATTTATTTACTTTCACCAAGAATTTTACGGACCATGGACTCTATTAAGGAAATCCCCACAACTGACCCCAATTTAAAAGTGTTCCCCTCCGACAAAGGAAAATGTCACGTAGCGACGTATAAAGGCTACTTTTACACTTATCATCGAGATGGGGTCCAAAGGACTACATTTCGGTAAGAATTATAATTAAGCACTTTTTAATAAAAAGTTGACTTTCTATTTCGAAATGCAATTAATAAATGTAAATGATGTATATGTACATAGGTGCGGGGAAAGACTGAAAGGGTGCAAAGGTCGTATTCACCTTTCGTCATCATGTAAATCTGTGGTTGACGAGTCGCAAGCCGATCCGTCTTTTCACACCCATGGGCCAGACCCTTCACGGTGTAACGCCAAGCACCTTATGGCGAAGGTCAAGATTAGTGCCGCCAGTTCGCGAGATTCCTGATCTTAGTGGAAGATTTTTGGGAGCTGATGATGAGGATTTTTTGAAAATTGATGTCACAATTTCAACGCCCAATGAAAGAGTCCTCGTGTTTTGCACCAATAAAAATCTTGATTGGCTTCAAGCGTCGGATCACTGGTTTTGCGACGGGACCTTCAAGTCGTCACCTACACTATTCGAGCAACTCATTGTCATTCATGGACTGCGTTTTGACGGGAATAAGGTCACTTGTTTCCCACTGGTTTATGTTTTAGCGCCCAATTGTTTGCAAAGGACATACAGCCGCATTTTGGCAGAATTGAAGTCGTTGAAACCAACGTTGGCCCCTATTTCCGTCATGACAGATTTCGAAAGCGGATTGCGAAATGCATTTGTTGCCGTATTTCCTAACGTAACCATGCGAGGATGTTGGTTTCATTTCCGACAGTGCAACGTTAAACATATGCAAAGTAATTAAATGATTAAACCATAATTTAATAATGTACTCGCATTCTAACAAAGTTTCTAATTCCAGGGGACCCTGAGTTGAAAGAGCTTATTTCCACTGAACCAGACTGGGCACTGGAACTGCGGAAACTGATAGCTTTGTCCTTCGTCCCCCAAGATAGAGTTGTTGCCGCTTTTGAAGAAATGGAATCATCTCGACCGTTTAGGGACAATTCCGAATTGAGCGTTACATGGATTATTTTACGAACACGTGGATTGGTGCCTTCGACCGTCGTGGACATAGAAAAGCTCCATTGTTCCCAATTGACTCGTGGAATTGTCATGAGTCTGTTCTTCAAGGATTACCCAAAACTAACAATTTCTGTGAGTCATTTAACAGTACCTTCGCATCAATGTTATCTGCTCAACATCCAACACTGGACCGGTTAGCTAAGGACTTGTTGAAGCGACAAAGACTGACTGAATGCTGTATGGAACAATTTTTAGCTGGCACAACCCCCAACTCCTCTTCATCTCAATCGAAAAATATAGAAAAATTGAAGCATTTGGTGGAACGCTATGGATCAGTGTCAACCATGGAGTTCTTGAAGTGTGTTGCATATAATTTTAGCCTTTAGAATTAATGTTCGTTATTTTATGTTTTTTGTTCATTTTTTATGTGTTTTTTTGACGCAGAAGAATTTGACAATTTTTAGAGGAATGTTTATTTTACATAATTGATTATTTATTTATCCTTCTCCTATTAACAATTTGTTGAGTTTATGTTCTCAACTTTTAAGTTTATCATGACCACATATATAGATTAAAGAAGTTGTAAACAGGAGGTAAGGTCGCATGAAGTGTGCTTCTAAAATATCAGGAGGGTGCTTGCAATTTTTTAGGAGAGGCACAAAATGCCTCATTAAATTTATTACACTAGAATGGCAAACAGGGCAATTTAGTACGAGTTCTCGTACATATTACCAAAACAAAATATGACTAGTATTGTATTGTTACCAAGAAAATCGCTTTGTGTATATGACGGCCGAAATATGTATGATTAATCCAGACTTAAGATGAAGTCAATTTTTGTATGTACAATTTTAGAAGGTGCAATCTGGGCGACCAGAACAATACAACGTTATGACTGTTGTTTAATTAATGTTCGACGTAAATAAAGTTGGCACACTTTGACATTGATGTATTTATCTTTGGATTGTTTTAACGAAAATAATTCCTCGACTGACAGTTAATTATTGATTGTTGACGTATGTAGATAGCTACTGTGAATACGTGCTATGTACATATGTAGGATAACACTTATCAAAAATATGTATCAACCTTGTGAATTTGTTTAATACATTACATATTTACCACGATAACATTTCATTATAATGTGTAAGATATTGAGTACTTTGCAATAAAGATGTACCAATATGTCTAGAAATATGTATATCCATAACACTTTTTAAATAGTTGAGACTTGCCTGGACGATAAACTCAATTTGTACATTTCCCGAATTTTTTGACTGTATAAGACCTGGTGTGAATAAAATCCAATCAAGGAAGAAGACAGATTTATTTATTCACGTTTTGGTTTTCAAACTTTTTGCAGGCGCGCCAAAATATAACAAACATGCTAAGCAATTAAACAAAACAAGTGCAAAATTGTTTTAATAAAGCTACAAAAATACCCTGGCGTGTTTTATTTTTTTATATTGAAAAACTTGAAAACTGAGGTACTAACTTTATTTATTTAATTTCATCATGAATTCTGATTCATTCGTATATTTGAATACACGAAAAACAACAATGAAATTGTGGAACACAGATTTGTTCCTCGATTATGTATATTCATAACAATCTAAATTAATGTATAGATTAATTCAAATTAAATGGAAAAGGAATTGTAATTGAAATTGGAATTGTAAACCGTACAAAGTATATAAAATGTTGAACCGATGTTCCTGTTTATTTTAATTCCAATAAATCGTACAATTCTCTAGAGCATAAACGACTCTCTGCATCCACAACACGTAATTTGTTAATAATTTTCGCCAAATTTTTAAATTTCCCGGCTGAGCAAACATTCAAAAACCTCCGACGATCTGCATCTCCTAATCCACGTAATTCAGTGAAAACCTCAAACCTATTAAAGGATTTCCTCGTGCTGTGTATGATTTCTAGACCAACTAAACCCAAGCTATAGGAATCTGTCTTAATAGTATAATTTGTATGCTTCCTCAATTCCGGACCTTGGTAAAGATGTGTCCCTGCTGCGCCTATGTTCCCACCATTTTTACATTTCACTGCTAAACCAAAGTCGCCAATTTTCCATGTCAAATCACCCGAAGGTCCAACCTTACAAAATATATTCCCTGGTTTTATATCTCGATGGATAAACAGTTTTTCATGCACGTAGCGCAATCCAGCCGCGACTTGTTTAAGAATGCTAACTTCATCCCCAATTATAAACCAGTTCTCTAAATAATGTTTCAAAGTAGTATAGCAGAGCTCCATCTTTATAAATATTTGACTCATTCCTGAACCATTTGTAGCGGATGATACGGCATCGCCAAAATTGTCAAGAAGTCCCTGAATAAATTTTTCTAAGCTAGCCTTATTTAATAGTAACTGACTACTCTCTCTGTTCTCGGCCCAGCACCCGTAGTACCGTACTACATGATCGCATGTTAGTTGGTCCATTATTTGTATCTCGTTGAGTAAAAGGGTAACATATTTTTGCAGATGAACATTGGTTCTGGTAGTGGTGAGAACCGTGTTGGTGACATTGGTTGAATCGTCATCACTGAATCCTATCGTTTGTATCATGTCGATGCATTTGATAGCGTATCCAGTCGGGGAAACAATGGCGGAGAGATCTTCAGCCTGATACACCTTTCCGAATGATCCTTTGCCCAAGAGGGAAACGCAGACTACAGAAGTATCAGCTGCCCATTGGGATCGCAATGGGGTTGCTGGATGTGGTGGAAGGAGTAAGGTTAAGTCTGCTGAGGGCGGGCTGCCTTGGATATCATTTTAATAATGTTAAACTTTTGTGTTCTCTGGGTTCATTGGATATCATATTTACCTGAATTTGGATCACGTGAAGGTTTCCTTTTCTTTTTAGTGAATATTTTAAAAGCAACTGCGATGAGAATTACGAATATGGTTATCCCAGCAAGGGTAAATATGATGTTCTCTGTACTGAATTGATTCCACGAACTATCAGTTCGATCTGTGGAATTGGCAGAAAGACAGGATTGGATTATCAAATTGGGCACATTGTTCTATATCAGACTGGTATTTGGAACGTATTCTGCTCCTGTTTTATTTTGTTTGTAGATTTCTAGACAAAAATATTTACAATTACATTAGGGTTTTGAATGCTAAACATATTACTTGATTTTCCTGCAGTATTTTCCTCAGTAACTTCGCTTTCTGTATCCTTACAATTTGAAAAGCTATTTATTGGGACACATGCAGCATCACGTCGGCAGAATATTTCACCATTGGGACAGATTCTGCCTGTCTTAGATGTACCCTAGAAATATATTAGAAGTTTTTAATGGTTTAATGGAAGACTTTACATGTTTAGCTTACAATATATAAAATAACTAATTACACCCAGCGGTTTTTTAGATGCTATATGAAAGCGTGCTGTTAGAGTTTTCAGGCTCTGAAAATGTTTTAGAATATTGGCGTTATCAATGGACTATGTACATAAATACACATGATGAGAAACTGTTTTGTTTATTATAAGTAATTAACATTCTGTCATACATGGCAGAAAATTCCTGCAAGTTTTAAGGTTTAAACATACCGACTTTGTATCTTTGCCCAGCGCTTTTCCATGTTTGAATAAAATTGATGCTGATTTTAAAACCTCGTCTTTTCGTCGACCAGGTACTGATGCTGATTGATTTCTGCAGTTGTCTTCTGCACAATCAGCATCAGACTTCCACGTAGTCTTAGCACATATTGTATATTTGGCATTAATTATTTCCCACACATTACTAGAACAATAACTTATGGAAGAAATATGATTGCCACAACTCCTTCCGTCCTTCATTTCCAAGTTGCTGGCATTTGTTACCATCCGAAACGAGGATTTCCTCGATTCGCCCAGACAGTCGGGATGTTCCCAAAGAGTTAGACAACCATCGAATGTATTAATTAAGTATACCTTGTTTACTTTAAGGCCACCGGGATCGAAAAAGTTTATACATTGTTCCTTCTCTATTTTCACTACATATTTCGGTATCATTGGAACATTCATTTTGAAATAAATAATACGAATACTCCGAAGAAAGGTTTGCATCCTCAGGCGGATGACTACGGGATTGAGAAAGTGGACTCATTTTCCTATCGTAGATTCGCTAAATGGATTTTAACGGGGATATTCTTAGTAAAAATTCTCCTAGCCACTTTCACTTTTTAATATTTACGACAATATTCTTTGAGATATCGTTGTAATTGAGATTGTTAAGCTTTCCCTGACAATTATGTGGTGCTCATTGATCAGATGGCAATATGTTATTGATCAACGGACAAAACACAATGTTAAAAATGTGCGACTTGGTTTGTATGTAAATGTAATACCAGTTGACAAAATGGGATGCAAATAGATTGGACGATTCTCAAAACCATGTAAAGCAAAAGATAAAATATACAGAAATTACAAGAAAAAGCCATAGCGCCCGAACGTACGGTTGGGACAATAGGACATTGTTTACACAGAACTGGCAATGTGTCTCCGTATGTTACGTGATGTAACAGACGGAGAACATGAAACCATGAAATGGAACCATCATGTAAAAATATATAATTTTCGCATATGTCCCCCATACATCCGCCACTGCTGTGTGTATATATGTATTTAAACAGCAGATACCTGTCCAGATTAAATATACACATATTTGGAGAACAAATAAAATGAAATGGATAAGTATCCACCTAGGTTTGCAAGCTGTATGACAAATATGACTCTGCGTGGATACAAATCCTTACAAGATCTTAATTGTTATTTTGTTCACGGATTAAATTAACGAATACGTTTAGTGCTTACGATTTTATCTGGTAATTCTGGTGGAATTGTTGTCGAGTCAGGTCCTATAATATTTGATTTGTTAATTCTTAAGTTTAATTCATTTTGGCAGTTTCCACCCGGACAATATTTATTTTCCTGAGGACAATTCCACAAAGTCCTTAAGCAGAACGAATGCCCACACTGTAACTTATCCCAGGTGCAATTCCCCCACAAAAACTAATCGAAGAAATCTCATCAGGCCATTTCAATATAGATTGACTCCAACGCCTCGAGTCCTTCATTAGTAGGGCGTGCTGATAAGAACGACTTATTCTTTTGGTTGGAAAAGTCTTTGACACACCAACACAGTCACGATGTTCCCAAACAGTTATATATGTGGTTTCTATTGAATACAGCAAATCTTTAATGCCACCAAAAGATTTAAGGTTAAGACATAGGTTTTGTTGGATCCATAATTCTTCACAGGATTTATGACACTCATCTCCGAACCGTTTGGAATCAAACCATTTGTAGGGATAGGCTGAATAAGTGTCGTCTGAAGCGAATGGTTTCTTAACGGTTGTAATTAATTAATTATGGTACGCTAATGTTTAATTAAAGTGTTAGTTTTTAATCCCTTTTGAGTTAATATCAATTAAGATTTGTACTAATAGAACTCTTTATTACGGATAAACTTGGAAATAACAAAGTTTCCGAAAACTGAGTCGATGTTTTTTTAAACAAAATGTATTCAGTGTACAATAATATATTTTTTATCCACTTGTATCAAAGTCTAGACGATGCACGAATATAATTCAATCTGTGTTTACTTTATGTGAGATAAAGCTTGTTTGTGAATGGGATTTATGTATCGCATACAGTAAATTCAACTCTGCTTTAAGCTTAGATAGATTACACATATGTTGTGAATGATTTATACATATGCATAACTAATAAGTCCATTTTGGATTATCGGAGGCAATAGGCAAGATAAACAGTCCATATGTAAGTATATAGTATGCGAATTTATTTTTTGTGCGAAATTAATAAGTTGTACGCACCAAAAATTATCCAACTACAGATTCCATACATATATAAGTACATACAAATGTTAGAATAGCAAATCCATCAGTTGGTGCGATTTATACACACCTGTACACTATATATCTGGAAGTATATATTTATTGTACGTGCCTAAAATCTATCTGTGGCAGAAGTTTGCAAAGCCAGCTATTGATTTTCCATTTCATACTGGAAATACTTTCATCATGGGAAGTATCGCATTATGTTATTATTTAAAAAATCAGAAACCACAACTTGACAAAATTGCTGCTTTTACTTGAATTGTAATTGGAAAATATCCTCCCCTCGATGTCCTTGAATTACTGTACGTAATAGTCACTGGCACTAAGACTGAGGGAATGAGGAAACAATTCTGTCATCAATTGGTTTCAGCTAGTCGGGCAGGAACTCATATATGAAGGGATATCAATAAGTAATGCGAATGGTTCAATATCTCGAAAACGAGTGATATTTGTTTAAAATCTTTTTGTAAGTTTTCAACATAATCTCAACCCCGTTCATTGCAGCATTTAGTCTTTTTCATCAGTTTATTTCTATCTCTTAGAAAAAAAAATTAGTGACGATGTTTAGCAAAAATTGCTTACACTATAGAAAAATCCAAAATTACAAAATGGATACCATCAACTTTCATGGCTGTATCGTTGCTGGGAAATAGAGTTTGGTTCATCAGTATGCTCTAGAAATAAAGACGCAGTCAGTGCGGTCGCTGAACAAGGTAGAAAGTGAGTCCATTAAGTATAGCGTAAGCAGGGCTGAAATGACGGTTATGGCGAATAATTTCGGATTTACTCGTTCCACATTCTATTTAATTGATCACCCCCATATATTGCCTACCGATACCCCTGTGATTACTATATGTTCAAATATTTTAAGAAATTTATCAAGGATTTGAGATTTGAGCGATTAAATATACAAATTAGTTTTTCTAGCGTAAGCAATTTTTGTTCAACACCATTACTAAATTTTTTTCCTAAGAGGTAGAAAAAACTGATGAAAAAAACTAAATGCTCCATTGAACGGTGTTGAGATTATGTTGAAAACAAACAAAAAGTTTTGGACCAAATATCACTCATTCTCGAGATATTGAACCATTCGCATTACTTATTGATATCCCCCCGTAAGAAGTCATGAGAAAATCATTTTTGTACGCCCCCAGATTTATTTAAATGCCACTAATTGTTTACATGCGTAAAGAATTTTTACATAACAATAGCACTGAATTAATGCCAGTGTTAGTTTATGCAACACTATTCACCAAATTTATATAAGCATAATATTTTTATTGTTTTCTGTAAATGTGGCTGCTACTGGTTTTTAAATAATTAAGTGCATATTATATAAATAAGTGATTGTTTTGCCGTGACAACAGCACCTTTATCGCTATACAATAATACTTACTTTATAGAATGTGTCACAATGTAGAAACGTCATCAGTGTCATGTTTGTATAATTGTTGGTAGGGTTCTAATCTTACAGCATATGTTATACATATTTTAGCCCCTACGAATAAGGAATATGGATACTTGTTTTAGGAGTGTTTAAAAAAATTGGATTACATATTATGCACTTAAATAAATAAAAGTAAAATAAAAGATCAACTCCATAAATCAAAATTAACTCTTATACATACGTAATTTACTAAATTACGGCCCGAACAACTGAAACCAACGGAACCCTACTTAAACAATTATTAATTCCTAATTGCGCACTTGGTTACGCGACCCAGGGTTGACATCAATTCCTGCCTAAATAAAATCGTCTTGAGGTCAGCTTAACCTTACTCACTCCATCCCTACTTGTCCTACATTGAGGTACAATAGAAATATTTTAAGAAGTTTAAATTGGGGTAATAAGAAAAGAAAAAATGAACTTGTCTATGTTCATCGTCCTCTGCGTAATCACGGTTCACTCGGTCCAGAATACTGTAAATATATTTTTCATTGTTGGAATTTTTAGATTCAGGAAAACAATATCTGAGCCCAATTTATGTTATCAAATTTTAACAATTTATTTAGGTCGGAATGGGGATCGATATTCAGAAGGAGATCGATTCCTACTCATTCTGTAATGGGGAGCCTGTCGCATATCCCCCCGTCCTGATTGCAAATACTTTTTTCGCTGGGACAAAATGTCTCGCTGTGGAAGAGGAATGGGTGAAAAAATAAACAAAAATTCAATTAAAAAACATTTTGAATTTTGTAAAGGATGTACAACTTGTTTTTTGGCGACACATTAACTCTCACTTTTCCCCACAGTGTGCCAAGCGATGCATCTTTGCGAACCTACCAGGTGCCTTTGTCGACAATAAGTTAAACCTGAAGTGGTTCAAAGACGAGGCTAGAAAGGTCACAGTCAGTGCAAACAATGAGGCCGCAAGGGAGCAAATTATCAAGGAGTTGGACAACTGTGGAAAACAAGGTGCATAAATTTGTCAGAAATAATTATTTGGCGCATTGTGGACAAAGATGATTTGACTAATTTTGCTAACCTTTGAAACAAATTTACCTCCAATTAATAATTAATTTTTGAATTATCTAATCTGTTTAAATTGTTTAGGTGACGATATGCCTGAACCGAAGTCAGCAAGCGTGAACAACTGCCCAGAATGGAAAAAGTTCAATCTCTGTGCTCACAATAATTTTGTCAAGATTTGCAAAGGAAACGGTAAATTGCGAACGGAATGAGATTCATACTTTGCGTGTGGTGTCTGGATGAATTTATGGAGGGGGTTGACACAATGAAAATTTGCTAAATAAATATGTTGCATGCCGAAAAAATCATAATTTCTGCAGTACTTGCATTGTCAAATTAAAACTTAAGCACCTATGGCAAAAATATTTCTCTTGGATTAGTGTGCTATGAATCTCATTTCCTTGCATACTAATATTTTTCGATAAACTGAGTAGGTAAATAACAACAAGACAGACAATACAATTCATTCCTAGTATACTTAATTTATTGCAAGAATCCGAATGGAATGTATGAGAAACTGATCCTATGACATAAAGTTGATGTATGGCAGCATGCTGGTGAGAAAAAATGCGCCGCCTCAGAGTTTTGGATATCGTGGCAACCGATTAAATTCAGTTCAATATTAAACGAAGGTCATGAAGATAACCTTCCATGTATGCATATACATATCATGGCCTTTAAAAAATAATCCAATATAAAAAAAATTGTTTTGTCCGTGACTTCAATAACGAATACTGAAGTCATGCACGGAAGCTTCGCTTTTAGTTGTAAATACTTATTTAAGTTGTTGTTGTTGTTGTATACTTTATTCGTGTGTCTTTCTCAATTCATAATACATTCGCATCATGTTCTCCCATTGATGACACTTAAAATAAACAATTTCTTAATATAAAATATAAATATAAATAAAAATAATTAATCCTGCGAAATCCTAACAAATCTTGTCATTATAGTCAGCAACATTGCATTAGATCCATTATCGAAATGTAGTTATAACCCAAAAAATACATACATAGATAATACATGGTTCATTCACTTAACCTATTCCATATTTTTTAAACAAATTAAAAGCGACATCTATATATTCCACAATTTGACTCATGTTAATCATTTCAACAGATTGTTGACGTAACGGATTAAGGATCTTTGCTAACTTAAGTAACACTTTCTCATAATTGGTACCTTTGGTTGTATTTGTTACATTACTTCCTATCGATGATACAAAAGATGGTACACAGCTAGGACATGCCCATACCTTAGATCGCACAATATTTAGATATGATTGATCAGAAATAGTTATGTTACAACGATTTCTGTGATAGAAATTGAAGCAATAAATACATTGTAATACTCCTAAATTCCAGGATCCATCTTCTAGGTCTAGGTCATCTTCAAAGTAGATTGTGAATGTTGATTCATTGTGCATAAAGTGAACCGCGATGTCTAGAACTTCTTGTCCACATATATTACAGTCAGGTCCCGTCAGTTTATTAAAACACGTTGATGAATCCAATAGTTTGAGTATATTATAATTCTTGTAGCTTTCCAACATACCGTCGGTAATAATTACGTTGGTGATAGGATGAGCGAGAGATAGTATTTCACTTAGTGGCGTCGCGTCTGGGTTTTCATATTCGTCATCCTCAGTCCAGTTGTCATCATCATCTTCTCAATTGTCAGGTTCTACTTTCGACGCCATGAGGCCAGTTCTGTTTCACAATAGAAAATGTGTGCCAGTATCCTTTAACCCAATTTTACAAATATGATATTGCCTCCTCAGTGAGGACATATACTCATATAATGTGACTTATCTCAAATAGATCGTCCCTCTCCAATTTTTAGATATTTTAACCGTCCTTCTGCTTCCCGTGTTGAGCCTCAAATTCAGGTCGACTCCACTTCTTCATACATCTAGACGACAAGTAAATTATGCTTCGATTGAGGTGGGGTGGTGATGATGTCGTCAGTTTATCCTCAGATAGATAATTGGGAATGTGCTTCCACTGCGGCTGTTTCACAATAGAAAAAGTGTGCCAGTATCCTTTGACCAATTTCATATACTTGGAATTTCCTCCATTGTGAGGACATATACTCATAAAATGTGACTTATCTCAAGTAGATTTATTTCCTCCAATTTTTCTAGACAGCTTTCCAACAAAAACAATTCTTCAAGGACGCCTACTATCGGGGGTCAGCTGTTGAATGGTGGCAGGAGCACTGAATCCGTCCCAACCCAGCCAAACCACTTTTTCTTCCACTTGTATTTATTTTGAATTTCCAAATTGTTAAAAATTGAAGGGCGCACCCACTTTTTTTAAAGAAACTAATACTATCTCGAGATACAGAATTTAAAAATCTTTAATTTGAGACTAATTTCAACTAAATTGGTGTACTCTATCCTGCAAAACTTTAGTTAGAAATTTAATATTGATGAGGGAGAAACAGTTGGTTGGTGGTGGTGGTCGCGAGCGTGACATGTGAGTAATTGCAGTAATGCAAATACAAAGAGCGAACTACTGAAAAATGAACTAGAATAGATAAATTTCAAAAATATTTGTACAACACATACGTACCATTAACAAAGGAAAATATAACTGGTGTACAATTTTTTTATCTAATTATTTATTTTTGATGTTTTAAATACATGCATTCCAATCACTGGGACCACCCAATGATAATCGATTAGAGGGATTAGTTTAAAAAATGGTGTAAATATACCGAAAATACATCAAGGTTTTTGCGCGTTGATATTCCCTTAAAACTAGTTAAAGATCTGTTTCTGGTTTTCTTACGCGAAGGTGTTTTTGCAGTAACTTTTGCAAAACTTAGCAAGATTAGCATGATCTTTCAATAATTCATATACAATCATTCATATGAATATTTTTCAAAGTTTCAAGATGCTTCTAAATATTGGTTAGTAGTCTGAAGGAAACGATAGATATTATGAACTATGCTTAACGTATCTATATTATAATTTACAAAAGTTGGTCCCGTTGAAATTTTCCGTGACATCCCTGCACTCTGATTGGTTGATGATAATTTGAATTGGCCAATCAGAGCATAGGACCGTTTCTCATTGTGGTTAGATATGATTATGGATATGATTTTGGATATTATTTTGGATATGATTATGGATATGGATATGATTATGGATATGGATATGATTATGGATATGAAGTCAGAAACTTCTTGAGAATCGTAAACAAAATTATTTATCAGCGTTAAAAAACTTCCTTAGCAATGTTAAAAAATTCCTTAGCAATGTTAAAAAATTCCTTAGCAACGTTAAAAAAATCCTTAGCAACGTTAAAAAAAATTCATTAGCAACGTTAAAAAAATCCTTAGCAACGTTAAAAAAATCCTTGGCAACGTTTAAAAAATTGCTTGGTAACGTTAAAAAATTCCTTGGCAACGTTTAAAAATTGCTTGGTAACGTAAAAAATTCCATAGCAATCATCAATATTTATATAAACTATTCTGAAGCCGAATAAATTTTTGACAAAAGTTTTGACAAAAAAAGAAACAGAAAATTTGGCCCGGGATGGCTTATAGGGTCGAGTGACAAAACTTTTGACAAAAAAGTTGTAGCAAAAATTTGCTCTGGTGAACGCTTATGCAGTCGAATGACAAAATTTACAGTCATCCAAGCGACTTAAAATATGGTAATATATAAGGAAAGCGAGGAACTTTCAAAGTGACCCGGTTGGCTCAGTTTTTCCCGATTTTTTAAAATCAGCGCACCGGGTTTCAATGGACTGACGTGCTTCGGGCCATGCCCGGACGGGCCTGGCGCGAAGCTGTTCTAAAGCCGAATAGATTTAAAAAAATTAAAGTAAAAAATATGGTCTGGAGATTACTTATGGTTTCTAATGACAAAATATTCGACATAAAAATTAAAACAAAAATATGGTGGTCGAATGCCAAACCTTTGGAATCGGTTAATAAATGATTTATGAAAGTTAAAAATGGTAATAGTGTGATAAAACTGTCTATTAGTATTGGAAAATTACTTTCGTAAAATACAATTCATGTAGTTCACTGAACGTGCACGATGCAACCACAATGATTGTTAATGCATAATACAAATGATTTATCATGTACTTCCTTCGAATTTTTTTTCTGTATTTTCCTTTAAATAACATTGCGCAAGGAAAAAGACTAAAGGCAACCAATCCGCCCGTCTTTAAGACGGGCTTGCAGGCTAGTATTAAATATGTGTCTACAATTCTTGTTGATACGTATGTATTTCAGTGTATAACTATAAAACGTTATTTCTTATATTAATTTTAGACTTTAGAGCTGCTTATGTAAATTTGCAAAAGCAACATATATTTTCATAACAAGATGTTAATATGCTGTGTAAACAAATATTAAATTGTCGATGTTGCAGCAATAATTTAAGCATGGAAGATTTTTAGCGGCTTCATGTTGCTTAAAGACAATTTTTGAAATATGATTCCAAATATTTTGATACACTTGGATTATTAATTCTATGACATTTGAGCTAATATGCTTGTTATCTAGCTCAGAATCAGAACCGCTTGCCCGTGTCGAAAATATTTAAGATAAAACATGGTTATACATACGGGAATGCACCCGCTATACAAAAAGAAAGAAGCATGCAATAGCGTGATATGTTGAATTTGTTCATGCAAATAAATGTTCCATTTAATCTATATATATTTCTGTAGAATTGATTAGTTTTTTTGCACTTTGTCATTTCGTGGCGACACCGAAATAGTCACGAATTTAAATTTCTATTTAGCAGCGGGCTCCTACGTACTTACGTAGCGCGCTCCTACGTACCAAAAATAAATCAATATGATAACTAAGGCAATGTTTCTCGTAATGTTAGCAACATTAGCAAAGTCAAACACAAATTCCCCATCGCTAGTTGACACTCATATAACTAGTCTTTTGCAAAATATAAGTATTTGTGATCTACAAATTTTGCATGACGGACTGGATTTTGGAAATCACAATATTCCAGTAAAAGTCTTAAGGGTGCCTCAGTATTCAAATAGGAATTCATACAACAAATCAGCTGTAGCAATCAATGTTTTATCCTTCCGATCTCCCCAACACAAATTGAGTTTCCTCATACCAAAAGTTATGCTTGAACCGGGTCTTAAAAGCGAACCTTTACACCTACCGTTATGGATCGATATCTCGGTTGGGTATCATATGTACCATTCTGTAAACGATGTTGGGGTAACTGATCTTAACGATACGGTAGTGAGGACGATAAGACAACGGTACTATAAATATGGTGATATAATGTTCGTCATTATGTTGACAACAAGACAAAAGAACAACTGGGACAACCTCGTGTCAC